TCATATATAAAAAATCACCACAGTCTAGCACAGACATAAAGGATACAGGGACAATTCTCTTTTTGGCCTCAATAGGAACACTTGTTTCTGAAGTAGAAACCTCATTTTATCCTTCATTTGCTGCCCTGTCTTAGTATATGTCTGACCATGTGGACCAGCAGCCTACACAGACACTGGTGACTACCAAGATACTGCAGACAGTGTAATAAAACATACCTACAGAGACTGGACCACGTGAAGGACAGTCTGCTGCTGTGTCGAGTTAAGTGGCCCCGAGAAAATTGAGATAATAGTAATGTTACCGACAGGCAATTATACCGGCTGCATCAGCCCCAGTGTTAATAGCTCGCCTAACCCCTAGATTCCACCGGGTTCGTCTGCGGCGCGTTACGGGCGCGTTACGGGCGCGTTACGGCTGCGCCGCGGTGCTCACGGCGATCGCGGCGATCGCGGCCACTCTAGTCAATGGGTGCTATTCCTCCACACGCGGCGCGTTACGGCTCAGAAGCGTCCCAGAAGCGGCTCAGAAGCGGCCCAGAAGCGTCTCGGCGCAGGGCTCCTCTAAAATTAGGATCGAATCCTATTTTTGTCGCGGCGCAGCCGTAACGTAAGGTCGGTGTTAGAAATTAAAATTCAATGTTTTATGGCATGATTTAGTCTAAAACATACCGTCAGTTTAAAAGCAGTCAGATGAAGAACTTATTACTTTTAGTATTGTGTTCACACCTTAAATGGTGTGAAAGGAGGGATTGTTAGAAATTAAAATCAATGTTAAACAGCATAATTCAGTCTAAAACATATTGTCAGTTTAAAGCTGTTTTATTGTGGAAAAGCCCGGAAGTTCTCAGGAAATCAATGCCAAGCTTTTATTCTGAAAAATCCTTTATCTGGTTAGCTTGTGACTAATGTTGCGTTTTCTGAATGTAAAGTGAAAATGACTTGGAGTGTTACACACAAACGTACGGACTTTAACACTACATCGATAGACGTTAAGATATTATTACTGCTGAATATTAAATGAAGGTCTAGTCGATCGTAGTGTTTACAGATACGTGAGAAGCTATGACGTCAGAGGGAATTTCCGTAAAATAAGAACTGTGCCGGAGCGGAACCACTAGGACTTCTAAACTAAGTATTACAGCTGTTTATAAGGTATTAAATAGAAAGTCATGACAGAGATAATGAGGAGAAAATGCTTAAGGAAGTAGGCAGAGAATATCAATGTCGAAATCATCTGTGCTCTCGCGATATCGAACCGGCAAATGAGTAGGGGGCCACCCACTATTTGCACAGCGGGGGACAACGAGACGTGGATAAAAAGGCAGGACGAAAGATAACGCGCTCGCTTCCCTTCGCTGCAGCCTCCCTCAAGACAACACCGGCTTTGTCTCTCCATTCACCATGCTTGTTCTTTAACCACGTTACTTAATTAAACTACCCATTTGAACCTTTTCAGAGACTCCATTAGTCTCGTTATTTTAAGTTTCTTTCCTGGGAGCGAGAAGATCACAAATTATCAACATCGGGCAGGCAGGAAGTGGAACGTTCAGAGCATATATATATATAGATATATACACACACACAAACACACAAACTAATTTTGCAGACCCTATCCCTCCGTAGTCTTTCAAGTAGGAGGAGAAATGCCAGCGTTCTCCTCCGGTTTACAGACACTGTGTCAATTATATATATAGAATAATTATGATGATGAATGCATTTTTTTACCACTAAAATACAGCAACACATCTTTGATTCATGTCGTTTATAACTGGAATATTACAGTTATTATTAACTTTGTCTGTACAAATTAGCCTGTCCAGGAAATATGCCCAAATCAACAAAAACTGCGAGCCGGCAGGCAAGACGCTCCGCTTCTGAAATGCTTCTGAAACGCGCCTGGTAGGGTATGACACCGGAGGAGGCCGGACCAAAACCGCAACGCGGCGCAGACGGACCCGGTGGAATCTAGGGGTCACTCACACTGTGCCTCTCCCTGCCGCTGGTGCTACCGTTAGCTTGGTTTGTAATTCTTGTCATACAGACGTCTAGTTTTAGGGTGCACTCATAGTAGTAGTAGTAGTAGTAGTAGTAGTAGAACCTTTATTTAGCCAGGAAAATCAATTAAGAACAAATTCTTATTACAATTTTATCATGTACGTGATGATATATTCCCCAAAATATGCAGTTCTGTAGCCCTACTTGTAATACTATTGAGTTTTAATAATAATAATAATAATAATAAATTATAATATACATTTAAAAAAAATATATACCAAATGTACTAAATGCAACATTTAGTAATAAACAAAATACATGAATATACTTATTCTATAATGTTGCCTTCCTATTATAAAAAAAGGCTCCTTGTTTAACTACAATGACATGTGGCTGCGGCCAGTGGTGTAAAGTAACTAAGTAGATTGACTCGAGTACTGTAACATTTTGAGGTACTTGTACTTTACTTGAGTATTTACATGTTTCGCTACTTTGTACTTCCACTTCACAACAATTCAGAAGAAAATGTTGTACTTTTACTCCACTACATGTATTTATTTTACCTTTATTTATTTTACAATCTTGGATTAATGATGTGAAATATATCCAACACTTTTATTTATCCAATCAGACTTTAGTTAGACCTGGGGGGTATACTACGAATCAAGATTTTCGTTTAGCAAGCTAACTTCAGGGGTTTCTTCCGGTCCTACGAAGCTGGTTCACTTTTTAGCGGGCTAGATAACTTATTCTGAACGGCTATCCTCCGGAGCCAGGATAGGTTCCAGGATAAGAGCTCAGCCTATAAAAGCTCCGCCTATCGACCAATGAAATCTCTGTGAAAATGACGTCGCCTTTTCTCGAAAACACTGTGGAGCTCGGAGCTCGGATTGCGAGAGGCGCTCTCAGGCGGGAGAGGATCTTTAGGGAAAGAATAAACCCTTTGGCTTTCTCTGAAGAGTATTTGTATGAAAGATACAGGTTCTCGTCAGAAGGGCTGACTTATCTTTGTCAGCTCCTTGAGCCACATATTGCTAATGCCACACATCGGAGTTGTGCCCTTACAGTGCCGCAGACTGTATGTATTGCTTTGCGATTTTTTGCGACCGGAAGTGTTTTGTATTCTGTGGGTGATGCGGAGAACCTCAGCAAGAATACAGTCTGCAGTGCTATTCATAAGGTCGCACAAGCTCTGACAGGGCTCGCAGAGTCCTTTATTGTGTTTCCTGGCACATGTCCCACGCAGATGATCAAAGAGGGGTTTTACAGCATGGCAGGTATGTGATTATATATTTACAGTGAATGTTGTTCCTATGACGTACACGTCCCGATGGCCAGTCAGAAGCTAGAATGCCAACCTAGAGAGCCAATCAGAACCTATAACGGGCTAAAGGGTGGTCCGCACGCATGGGCCGGTGCGTCTGAACGTCCCGGGCTGAATTTGTGTCCCTGTACACTGTTGTATAATAAATGCAACCTACTATTTCATAGGGTTTCCCAGGGTGCTTTGCTGTATAGACTGTACACACATACCCATCTCTGCGTCCCTGGGAGAAAATGAAGGCGATTATGTAAATCGCAAATCCTTCCACAGCCTCAACATTCAGGTAAATCTTGCACATTCACTTATAGAACACACATTGAAGTCTGGGTGATTAAAGGAAATCACACATTTAAATATTCACACAGTACATGTTTCACACTTGGACTATCTTTCTCTATAACATGGACTCATTTCAAATGAACATTGATGCTACACTGACTAGATGCTCTTATTGTGGAAGTAGGCTTGTTAACCCCAAATTCTTTTGTAGGCCACATGTGACCACAGGTGTCTCATCACCAGCCTTGATGCAAAGTGGCCTGGGTCAGTCCATGACTCAAGGATCTTCTCAGAGTCATCACTGTGTCACAAACTCGAACAGGGTATGGCAACTGTACATTCTTATTGTTTTGTGCTTCTTAAGCTGCCTTTTGTGTATACTTATGGAAATGTTCCTTTATCTTCAGGAGTCTTCAGTGGAGTGCTGCTCGGGGACAGGGGTTATGCCTGCCAGCCTTTCCTAATGACCCCATATCCTGACCCTGGTGAAGGGCCACAAACCACTTTCAATGTGGCCCATACCAAAACCAGGGTCAGGATAGAAATGACCTTTGGACAACTGAAGGCCCGATTCACCTGCCTGCGAGGGCTCAGAGTGGCCCTTGAAAGAGCGGTTCCCATCATAACGGCCTGTGTTGTGCTGCACAACATTGCAACCATGAGGAATGAGAGGGCCCCTCATGCAATCCCCCAACCTCCTGATGTGGTAGACCCCATCACCCTGGACTACCCTACTGGCAGGGCTGTCAGAGATTCTATTGCATGTTATATTGGCCAATAACAAAAGAACACACACAGAGAGAGAGAGAGACCTTGGGTGATTTATGTCGGAGTTTTTATTTTGTGAGGTATTCCTGACGGAAAAAGAGAAAAAAAAACATATTTCTTGGTTTACTTTTTCTTTAAAGACAAAAGGGATTTGTGTTTTAGGTATCCTAAAAGATGTAAAGGTCACCTTATGCACCTTTCATTTGACTTGAAAAAAAATTACTGAATGTTACAAAATTACCTGTCTTTCTCTCTCCAATTTCTCCACCTCCAGCTTTGTTTTTTCCATCAACAGCTTCTGGTGCTCTATGAGAAGGTCATTCAATTGGATGCTTTGGACTAGGGTCCGTTTGTACAGGGCCCGCACAGTGTCTGCTTCAGCCTGAAACACATATATGTTGCTTTAACATTCAAGCATGGCTCACAGCAAGAAAGCTGACAAATTTAAACTTGACTATACTTTTACATTTTGTTTAATTAATTACTTGTCGTGAGGGCCTAGATGAGGGCCCAGGCTGCGGGGGAGGAATCTGCACCTGCTGCGGGGGAGGAATCTGCACCTGCTGCGGGGGAGGAATCGGCACCTGTAGCTGCGGGGGAGGAATCGGCACCTGTAGCTGCGGGGGAGGAATCGGCACCTGTAGCTGCGGGGGAGGAAGAGTTCCTTCTTCCTGCGAATTGAGCAAAGCAAATATATTTTCAATACACAGTAGTTTTTTGTCCCATGTGCAGACCACCACCATGTGCAAGTAATCAGAAAGAATCAATTAAAGCAACGTGTCCACACCATCTCTGCGCTCTCTGACAGTGTGTCATCCTCATCTAGGCCCCCCTGAAAAGAAGAAGAAATGTAAATGGTCTATTTGATCCATATTCAGCTCAAGGTGACATACCAAAGGTTACGTTACCTCTGTATGAGGTATAGTTGTTGATTGGGGGGGGGGCAGCAACACCACGTTCTTCCCATCATCTGCAGAACAATAAAATACATGTTACTTACTCCCACAAAAATAGATATATAATTGTGTTTTATAGCAACGCAGCTGTTTCAAGCTCTCTGAATCTTACCCTGTATATAAAGGTGGTGGGAGCTGCTGCAACCAGGGTCTGTAGAGAACCCCCCTTCCACCCCTACCATCAAGGGCCGACCCTCATTGTTGCTGAGGGCCAGCTCCTCGGCAGGGGTGAACTCTGCTGGAGGAGGGCCCCCTCCTGTCTTCCTCTGGTCCTTTTTTTTCTTGTTGGCTGCAAGAATTGGGAAAAAATTTGACCGCTTTCCGATACAGTTATGAAACACAGACGAATTGAAGCAATACAAAACGTGTATTTTCAAGATCTCAAAAGAGGGAAATTTACCAGATTGAAGGATGTTCTTATTTTGGTCTGTTCCCAGGTCCTTTTGGAGCCGCCGGGATTACATCTGAAAAACGAAACGACAAATGTCATGTACAGCTTGAATTAAAAATAAATGCTATAAATTAAAAGGATAAAAAAAAACATTAGGCTTAAAGCATGGCTCAAAGTCCACTTGTGACCCTCGGGTGATGATATGATAAAGACAAAAAGGCTGCCACTCAATGATCAATTTGGTATTTTAATGACTATTTATCCGCTGAACTAGAAAATGTATCTGGAAGCGTGACATGACTGCCGTGCATCCAATACACTTTTTAAAGATGTGCAGCTGTGCACGCTGTTACAAAGGACATAATTTACTTACGCATTCACAGAGTCAGCAATTTGTTGCCAACCACTTTGGCGACTTTTGGCAGCCGCAACCGTGTTGCTTTTAACTTTTATCATGTGCTTGAAGTCCTCAAAGCGGCTCATTATAACACTTTGCTCCTCCGCTGTGAAGTACGCTGCTCTAGCCTTGTCCATGTTTGTGATTGGTCGAATGCTCCAGATTCCACCCATTTTATGTGAACGCGCACCTAACTAGATAGGACACGGCTGGCTTGCGATCGAGGTGATAGCCAGCGTCGTAGGACAGTTTAGCGAGAGCGTTTTTTTTTTTTGGATTTACCGGATAACTCAAAACATATCCAGGATATGTTGAACTAGATTCGTAGTATACCCCCCTGGAGTAAATTCACAAGCTACCCTGCAGTATACAAAGTCATTACAACTAGCTGCACCTTTACCAGCTTTGAGAACACTTTAATGATCAATAATTATAAAATATATCATATATATTATTCTGAAATGGACAATCTGCACAATGACTACTTTTACTTTTGGTACTTTAAGTTTATTTACATTATGATTGCAGGTAGATAGTACAGTTTATTTACATTATGATTGCATTTCTAACAGAGTATTCCTACATGCTTGTACTTCTACTTAACCTGTTAAACCCCATCCCCCCGCCACCGGGGGGAAAAACACATCATCTGCAGGAAACAGCGTCTGAGGGCTTCTTAATATTTAATAAACTATGAATGTTTCATATCCATGTAATGCAAAACAAAACACAAAGCTAACGCTGAGCCTCTGAATTAGCCCCGTGCGAAAAAATGCTAACGCCGTTTGCACAGAAAACACGGTATAACACCCTTATTACTTATCGTAACTGCACATCCAACATATCGATTAGCATCGTGAGAATACACAGAATCAATAGGTATATATATCATCACTCCATGATAAGAACTCGCAACATTATAAACAAAAACAGACATCACAACACGTGGCGCTAGGTAGCCAAAACGGCAATATGTCTTACCTTTGTCGTTGTCTGATCAAAAGTTGTGTTCAATGGCATTAAAACGATAAAAACGCTGCTGAAGGTTAATCCATAGGTTAATCCAATGTGTCTGTGTCACTTTGAAATGATTTCTGATAATCCATCAGCAATAAATCTACTTTTAAGTTTTCAGATTTCAGAGCGTGAGACAGGTTTCGATTTGGGGAAACTGCGTGCGCATAGCCCACACTTCACAATGGTAACGTTCGTGTGTATGTGGAAATTCCCCTTCGATTCTATTGGCTCTAACGGTTAAAAAGAGATGTCAATCATCAAAATCGACCAATGGGTTCCAGAGAAACGGCAAAAACGCCCATTTCCACCCAAATGACCCCAGAGGTGGAGTTTTCTTTGCTAAACCTCTAAAAAGGTCAAATGTCACTTGTTTTGCATCAATCTTGATACAGGGTACTTATTATATGTTGTACTTTGGATTCCTAAAGCTTTTAGTCTACCATCCCATCATTCAAGGGTGGTTTACTTTTCACTATAAGTAAAAAAATATTTTTGGACGGACACTATAATTTACAGTTTTTTACTATGTTCAATCTGAGTTTTCTTTAAAATAAAAAACATCTATATTGATTCTGACTTTTCTACATCCAACTCACAGGTTTATCATTACTTTGAGAAAAAAGATTATTAATTTTCCCCTTTTAGAAGGGAAGATATGGTCATTTGTTCTGGAAATGTCATTTTCGAGCCTGAGACCTGAAAAACAGGGATGGGGTTTCACAGGTTAAGTACAAGATCTGATTACTTTTTCCACCTCTTGCTGTGGCTTTTAGCTTATTGTAAACTGCTCTAGTCAGACTCTGTTTGACAGTTCTACTTTTTTTGTTAAAAGCACTTCCGGAATCTGCTATTGTTCTGATGATGATAATCCTCTTGTGGACACAATACTTCAAGTTTTATTTCACAGTACAATTAGCAACTTCTGGTGGTTTTGGAGTTGAGAGTTGATATCAACAACTGGAGTATTCTTTAATTTGTCAGTTACAAGCTAATGTTAAGCTAATAAAAAGTTACATTACATTACATTGCATTTAGCTGACGCTTTCATCCAAAGCGACTTACAATAAGTGCATTCGACCAAGAAGATACAAACTTGAAGAAAACAGAAACATATAAGTACATCAGGTTTCATAGAGCCAAAACATTTCAAGTGCTACTCAACTGGCTTTAGATAAGCCAGTCCTTTATTAGTATATAAGTGCTTTGTTAGTAATTCTTTGTTAGTAATTGTATCGCTCGAAGTGGAGTCGAAAGAGATGAGTGTTCAGTCTGCGCCGGAAGATGTGTAGGCTTTCTGCTGTCCTGATGTCAATGGGGAGCTCATTCCACCATTTTGGAGCCAGGATAGCAAACCGACGTGTTTTTGCTGATGGGAACTTGGGTCCCCCTCGCAGTGCGGGTGCAACGAGTTCATCATCAGACTTTAGCAAATAGGTTCCAAGTTTTGCATTCCTGCCTTTTTTTTGCTCTTCTCTCAAAACGTTTTACCTTGGTTCAACCAAAGAACTGTGATTTGTCAATACTAAGAACAGAACCAGAACTCTAAAAATTCCGGAATCTTGCCTTCCTTTCAAAATCTGACGATGGAGCAAACCGCTACCTTTACAGATTCTACTCCACCTTAACCTGTCTCATTTTTACCTACCACTCTTTGCACCGTGGATTAGATATATATCACAATATCGTCTGACTGAAGGAGTATATGTTTTTGTACCAACTTATTTTTACCAGCAGACGAAGTGACCCAAACAAAAAATAGCATACCAGTCGAACATTGTGTTTTGCTGTTGCTTTGGCACCAAAACAGAGATAAACATACACAAACATGCATAGACACGCACTGAATAAGCCAGGGGTCTTAGGGGTTTAGGTGAAGGTAGAAAATTGCTTTGGTCAGCTCATGTATTGAATCTAATGGAAATTAAAAAAGCAGTATACACACACATAGCATGCCGACTGTTAGAAATTAAAATCAATGTTGATGTGGCGTATTTGAATGAAATACACTGTATTTAATTTAACCTGTTTCACACCTTCCCCCCGGTACCGGGCGGATAAACGCGTCATTTGCAGGAAACAACGTCTAAGGAATCTTAATATTGAATAAAACTATGAATGTGTTATATCCATGTAACGGGAAGAAACTCAGCTAACTGATCTTTTTAATTTTTTTTTTCAAAAAAAACCCACAATGCTAGCACTCAGCCTCTGAATTAGCCTCGATCGAAAAAACGGAACCTACAAAGGCACTTAAACTCACTCATAACTCCCTTATTACTTATCCTAGATGCACAGCCAACCACTCATTTTTGGTGTCCTGGAGACACTGAATCTGTGTAAAAAACCTCAACACTCAGTGATAAACATTCGTGACGCTATAAACGAAAGCGTACATCATCACATGTGGAGCTAAGAAGCTAAACACGTAAATATGGCTTACCTTGGTCAAAAGTGGTCTTCAATGGCATTAAAACGATAAAAAAAACGATGCTGCAGTTAATCCATAGGTTCATCCTATGTGTCTGTGCCTTCTTTGAAATTATTTCTGATAATCCATAAGCAATACAACTGCGTTTTAGTTTCCAAACTCCAGAAGGAGACATTCCTCCACTTTGGTTTCGTTTTCCACACGCGAAGCGCCCACATTTTTTCTTTACAACGTGTGTGGGTGTGGGCCTCCCCCTTCGATTCTATTGGCTCTAACGGTCACAAGGGTATGTCAACCAACCAAATCGAGCAAGGGGGGCCAGAGATAGGTCAAATCCACCCAAATGACCCCAGATGGCCTAGTTTTTGGCTAAATCTCTCTAAAAAGGTCAAATTTCACTTGTTTTGCATCAATCTTGATACAGGGTACTTATTATATGTTGTACTTTGGATTCCTAAAGCTTTTAGTCTACTAACCCATCATCCAAGGGTAGTTTTCACTATCTGTAAAAAATAATTTTTGGACGGACACTATAATTTACAGTTTTTTACTATGTAAAATCTGAATTTTCTTTAAAATAAAAAACATTTATATTGATTCTGACACTTCTACATCCAACTCACAGGTTTATCATTACTTTGAGAACAAAGATTATTAATTTAACCCTTTTAGAAGGGAAGATATGGTCATTTGTTCTGGGAATGTCATTTTCGAGCCTGAGACCTGAAAAACAGGCTCAGAGTGGAACAGGTTAAATCTGTTTTATTCTAAAAAACCGAAGATTCACAAGTGACTTCCGGTTTTCCGCTGGTGAATTTCGTCATTTCCGGTTAGCATTAGCATGTGGCGAAATGCTACGTTTTCAAACCGTGAATTGAAGGTGAAATAACGTGATGTTGTACACTAAACACCCTGGGTTTAACACTCATTTATTGACGCAGGAATGAGGTTTATTAGGGAATGTTTAGATGACCACAGACATCTGAGTGATGTAATTCAGCAGCAGAAACCGACAGGATTTACATTGGACACGCCCCCGTCGACGCCGGCCAATAGGAGAAGACTACAGTTGTTACCCGGGAGCGACAAGAAGGATCTCTCTCTCTCTTTGCCCCCAGCTGACCCAGCGCGGACGGGACCAAACAGCTGGCAGGAGGGAACCACCAACACGCACATTTCATTTG